CCCCACCCTCCTGTGGCCTCTGGCCCGGCACTGGCTCTGCTTCTGGGGCTACAGTCTTTCCTGTTGACAGTAATTAGACCTTTCAGACTAAATTTCTTACATGAAAAAAAAATCCCAATTCACTTGAATTGTCTCCTTGATCCAGTTCACCTGGAGCTATTTAGTTCCTGCAGTTTGTTTGGAGGGAAAAACAAGCTCTTAAGCCTTCACACATTACAGCTGATAAGATCAAGGTGCTGAAAATGTTGGTTAGGTAAACGTTGGAGCCCGACTGCCTGAGTTTGAATTCCAGTTCTACCTCTTAAGCATCCATGACCTGAGTTGTGTCTGTGAAATGGGGATAACCATAGTGAAGATTAAATGAGACAACATAGGAAAACCCTTGCGAGAACAGTGCCTGGCCCCTAGTAAGTGCTCAGAAAAGGTTGGCTCTCAATATTAAGCTCATCCAGCCCTCACACCCCCATCTTTCCCTCCCAGCCTAGGATTTTGCTCTGGGAAGCCATGTTCCCTTCCTGTCCCCCAGGCTCTGGACCCTTCTTTTCTCACTCACCAGACAGATGACAATTGACCCTTGAACAACACGGTTTGAACTGCACAGGTCCCTTTGTACGTGGATTTTTTTTTTTTAATACAGTACCGTAAATGTATTTTCACCTTATGATTTTCTTAATATCACTTTCTTTTCTCTAGCTCATTTTACTGTAAGAATACAGTATAAAGGGGCGCCTGGGTGGCTCAGATGGTTAAGCATCTGCCTTCGGCTCAGGTCATGATCCCAGGGTCTTGGGATTGAGTCCCGCATCAGGCTCCTTGCTTAGCGAGGAGCCTGCTTCTCCCTCTCCTTCTCTGCTTCTCCTTCTCCCTCTGCCACTCCGCCTGCTTTGTGCTCTCTCACTCTTGCTCTCTATCAAATAAATAAATAAAATCTTAAAAAAAAAAGAATACAATATAGGAATACATATACAAAATATAAGTTAATTGACTATGTTATCAGTAAGACTTCTAGTCAACAGCAGGCTATTAGTAAAGTTTTGGGGGGAGTCAAAACTTATACAGGGATTTTTGACTGCACAGGGGGTTGGTGCCCGTACCCCACATTTTTCAAGGGCCAACTGTATTTCATCTCTCTAAGCCTCCGTGTCCTTATCTGTGAAGTGAGACTAGGAATAATGGAGTCTCCTTCATGAGGTTGTTGTGAAGTTTAAGTGAGTTAATTCAAGGCTTGGTGACTATTCAGTCTCATTACTGTTGTTCCTAAGGCACAAAGGGTTGCCTGAAAGGGCTTTTGAGATCTTGGAGAGCTCTTGGAAGGCCCAAAGTAGGCATTTAGGGTTAACTAGGGTCTGAGTGTAAGCCTCAGGAGCTGGGGAGACTGCTGGCTTGTTTGTTGCTATGACAGTAGCTGGAGCTGAGCAGGCCTGTGGTAATAGTAAACGAATGAATACTGCAAAAGAGTATGTAAAAACACATTTGGTTCAGGGGCGCCTGGGTGGCTCAGTCGGTTGGGCATCTGCCTTTGGCTTGGGTCATGGTCCCGGGGTGCTGGGACCGAGCCCTGCATTGGGCGCCCTGCTCAGCGGGGAGTCTGCTTCTCCCTCTCCCTCCTACCCTCCCCCTGCTGGTGCACTCTCTCTCTCAAATGAATAAATTTTAAAAATCTTAAAAAAAATAAAAACAGATTTGGCTCAGGCAACCTGACAGAGAATTCTCAAGGCAGACCACTCCTGGGTATTTAAGCGTTTAAACTCAGCTGGGAACACTTTCCGCTTCCTCACTCCTATCTTTACCCCCCAGGACTTAAAAACAAAACTGAAATATCCCCCATTGTTTCGTGTTCCTGTGTTCTAGACAATCTGCTAACTACTTTATAGACATCATCTGTTTTAATCTTGACTTCAACCCTGAAAGGTAAGCATCATCATTCCCATTTTACAGATGAGAAACAGATTTAGAGAGATTGAGCAATTTGCCCAAGGTTGCATAACCAGGAAATTGCAGAGCTGAGATATGAACCCTAACCTGAGGGACAGGACAGGGACAGCTCCCATTTGCTCGTCAATGTTCTGATTTTGGAACAAGTCTTATCACTCACCATTCCCCCAAATACCCACTACACAACTGAGGAGTGTCTCCAAGTAGCAGATGCCTCTCCCTCAAAATCCTGTGGCCTTGATATTATCCAGGCATTACATTAATAGAAGTAGAACTGCTGTCTTTGGGGCGCCTGGGTGGCTCAGTCGGTTAAGCATCTGCCTTCGGCTCAGGCCATGATCTCGGGGTCCTGGGATCGAGCCCCGCATCAGGCTCGCTGCTCAGCGGGGAGTCTGCTTCTCCCTCTCCCTCTGCCTTTGGCTCCCACTCGTGCTCTTTCTCTCTCAAATAAATAAAATCTTAAAAAAAAACTGTCTTCCACAATTAAGGTGGCAAAAGTTCTCTATTTGCCTGGACTTTCATTCATCTCTTTATCTGACTATCTTCCTCATTTTACATTTAGGAAAGTCAAGTTCTAGAAGTGGTGAACAGGATGTGTTCTGTTATTCTGATATATCTAGTATTTCCAAGAGCTATTGTTGCATTAGAGAAATACAGAATGATTTTTATAAATCATTCTTCTGTCCTTGGAAGCAAGTATTTGAAGTACATGAGTTATAATATCCTCAAGAACCTAAAGAGAGGGGCGCCTGGGTGGCTCAGTCGTTAAGCATCTGCCTTTGGCTCAGGTCATGGTCCCAGGATCCTGGGATCGAGCCCCACATCGGGCTCCCTGCTCTGCTTCTCCCTCTCACACTCCCCACTTGTGTTCCCTCTCTCGCTGTGTCTCTCTCTGTCAAATAAATAAATAAAATCTTTTGAAAAAAAGAATCTAAAGAGAGCTGAGGGTCTGGAAACCAGGAGGCTGAGATTGATGCCCAACCTTGTTTTTCTTGATTAAATATGAGAGTTACACAGTTCTCTGGGCTTCTCATTTTTCTCTACCCGGTTTATCCTCCCAAGGATATCTTGTAGGTAATTTGGGGGGACAAATATGGATTTCTGTGAAACACTTGGACCCCCAAGAATGGTATCAGATATATCCACCAAAGCTTAGCCTAGGAAAGCAATGACGATTCAAAGATAGAACTTTCCTTTGCAGGCACATTTGTGCTTCACTGACATTGCATTTTTTACACACTGGAGTTTTGTGGCAACCCTGCATTGAGCAAGTTGATCGGCGCCATTTTTCCAACAGCATTTGCTCACTTCATGTCTCTGTGCCATGTTTTGGTAATTCTCAAAATATTTCAAACCTGTTCATTATCGTTACGGTTATCTGTGATCAGTGATTACAACTTGCTGGAAGCTCAGGTGATGGTTAACATTTTTTAGCAATAAAGTATTTTTAAGTTAAAGTGTATACTTTTTTTTACACATAATGCTATTGCACACTCAGTAGACTACAGTTTAGTGTAACCATAACTTTTACATGCACTGGAAAACCAAAAAATTCATTTGATTCACTTTATTGAGCTATTTGCTTTATTGCAGGGTTCTGAACCAAACCCACAGTATCTCCAAGGTATGCCTGGATTTACTTCCTGCCAGAAATCTCTCCTGTTTATACAGGGAGTTCTGGAGTGAGAATAATGTGGGAACCCATTAGACTCAATAGCTTTTCTCCCTTCCCTTCACCTTTCCTCTCCCTTACCTCAAATCTCTGAGACCATGAGGGGCTCTTCCTCCATCCCTTGAAGAACAAAACCTCTGACCAGGCTGTGTCCGAGGTCAGGCGAGTGAGGAGAGGAAAGTGCACACCCCATTGTGGCCAAGACGAAGGCCACAAATGCCATCTTGATCCTTTGACCTACATTGACACTGAGTCTGTTGCTTTGGTGTCCCTGACTTTGGCAGTGTGGTTAGTCTAACTCTCTGCCCCCACCTTGAATTGAGCTTTGATGAAAAAGTAGTAGGAGTCCAGGCCTCTCCCTGGAGATTTGGGGTTTTTATTCTGGAAAAGCATCAACCAAACTAGCAGGGCAGGAGATCTGGATTCCTGTGGCTTGGGCTAACTTAGGTCCAAAGAAACCAAGTGCCTATGATCATCATCTTCATTCCGCAAATGTGGCCATGCCCTCCGGATTCCCTTCTCTCGCTCATTCTCCCAGTTAGGCTGGCTGGCAGGTTACCCGCTCTTGCTCTACCATTAGCTTGTCCCTCCATATGTGAAATGCTTTGGTGTACAGAATACTCGTGGACTGCTGCCGCCTGGCCGGTCTAAAACCTTTTGGCTTTAGTCCATGCAGTAGCAAAACAACCTTTACACATCAGTGTATTTCCTCTCCCTTGGGATCCCGAGATTTGCCTCTCTGGTTTTCTGATGGACTAACAGAGCCTCATCCAGGCTCATCTCTCCCAGACCACTGCTTCGGTATATCAGGAATCATTTGGTTGCCTTGATTGTGTATCTGGAACATTTGTCTTGGCTTCCTATAACAGGATGACCAGATTTGTATGCAATCCTGGATGACAGAGTAATAAGGCCTGTGGGTTGCTATGATGTATTCTTCTCCATATACTGCCTTGGTAGTGCTTCCAGATATTCTGTGGATGGTCTTTGGGCATGTTGTGGCAAATGTTACCATGCCAGAGAATTTCAGCAGATTTAACCAGCTTTGAAATGACTCGTTCTTGTGGATTTTCATACCCAAGGAAAACCAAACTAAGAAGGCTGATCAAGGTGTCCCTCTTGTTCTCTTCTTACCCGACCATTTTTCAAACCAGTAAAGCTCCTTTAGCCAAAATGTTGTAGCTGGGTGTCTTCCACCCAGGAAAAACTTTGTAGAAACAGTGATCTTAAAATGCCACCCCCGGAGGTTAGTGGCCTGCGCACCCATAACACTGACTCACCTTTGTAAGAGCAGCTCTGCTGAGACGAGGTCTTAAACCCTGGAAAGGGCCAAAGAGAGAGCAATACCTTCCCACACAGGGACCTAATGTGTTCCTCTCCATTTCAACTTCAGATCTGCTGACCATGAGAGAGTATCACTGCTTGCTGCAATTGCTGTGTCCGGATTTCCCGCTGGAGCTCACTCAGAAAGCAGCCAGGTATGTCCCCTGGGCTCTAGAAGCCAGCTCAGCCCTCTGTGTGCTGGGGGCTTCTTAGAGAAACCGGAAATGTATACAAACAAACAAACCATTAGGAAGAATAAAAAACCATTAGGGAGAAACTGGCATTTGGAGGGGGGTCTATTTGGAATTTGCCCCAAAACATAATACTCACTTTCTGCCATTTGCAAGCCAAATGATCCTTTGTGGTTTCTGTGGGGAGACTTCAGGTCTGCAGATAGAGTTGAGGGGTGGTGAGATGAAGAGGCAAACACACACATACACACACACACACGCACACACAGAAACCTCTAGAGAATATTCTGAGAAGAGAAGAGACAAGAGTTGGCAGCGACCAGTGAAGGAGCAGATTGAGGTTGGAGACTGGAAAGGCATGAAGGTGATAAAGCCCATCTGAGGGAAGGATAAATTGTATTATTTCTGCTAAAAGATTCTCAAGATTAGAACCAGGAAGACTTGGCAGAAATAGTTTAGAACCCCCTAATTTCTAGGTTTGGTTTCACAGTCATTCACATTTTTAACCAAATGAGGTCTTTAGACTATGCCTCCGTTAACTTTTCCTTAACACGGAATTTGAGCTAAGGTCGCAAATGGAAGGACTTCAAAAATTGTGTTGTCTGAAATTGCCAGAAAAGAGGATTTTTAGGAAAACTATTGTACTATATGTGATGGATACCTGTCCTTATACATTTGTCCAAAGCTAGAGAACATACAACAGCAGGAGTGAAGGGTAATGTAAAGTACGGACTTTGGGTGATAATGATGTATCAGCGTAGGTTCATCAGTTATAAGAAACGTTCTACTCCCGCGCAGTGCGGGATATTGACAATGGATGAGGTTGTGCGTGATGGGAGTGGTATGGGAGATCTCTGCACCTTCCCCTCCATGTTGCTGTGAACCTAAAACTGCTCTAAAAAAGCAAACTCTTAATAATATTTTTTAAAATGCCCATCTTACCTAAATCATAATGTATGCATTTACCTTCATTGTTTCATTTAAATTCATTTACTTTAATTATCTCCCTTAATCCTTATAAAAACTGTTACCTTCCTATTTACTGAAGAGGAAACTGATATAACTCAAAAAAAAAAAAAAAAACGAACAGGAAGCGGAGGCTCAAAGAGGTCAAGTAAATGGGCTGAATTTACTGTTAGCTTGGAAGTAGCAGAGGCATGACTTGAACCCAAGACTGCCCGAATCCAGAGACTTTGCTCTTAACTTCCTCACGCTCCTACCTGCTCGTATTGTGAAATCATTTCTTCGTGGTGGTTCAACCCACTGAAACCACAGCTGCATTGGCTGCATTACCCCAAGAGCCCTCTCAGCCCTTCTGAAATGAGCCAACCAGCTCCCCTGCCAGCTAGAGAGATAGGAAGTCCTCTGCCACCAACAATGGCACCAGCCTCACACTGGGGCAGGCTGTTTTGCGGTTCACAGCTCATGCACTGGTTTTGCTGGTCAAAACGTTGCCATGTGCAAAACTTGGATAGTGATCACGCACCCCAAAATCTTTTCCCCCCCGCATTGTTCAGTGGATACTTACCTCTTCCAGGGGCAATTGGCCACTGGTAAAAGCTGCAGTTCAACTTTTATCATTTTAACTTGCCTATTATCCAAAGGAGATTTAGATTTTTTTCCCCATAGTTGAAAATAAAATGTGGGAGATTATCTCTTGCAATTTAAAAGCAGCTAAGTAAGGGCGCCTGGGTGGCTCAGTTGGTTAAGCGTCTGCCTTCAGCTCAGGTCATGATCTCAGGGTCCTGGGATCCAGTCCCGCATCGGGCTCCCTCCTTGGCGGGAAGCCTGCTCTCCCTCTCCCACTCCCGCTGCTTGTGTTCCTGCTCTTGCTATCTCTGTCTCTGTCAAATAAATAAATAAAATCTTTTAAAAATAAATAAATAAGTTAGGGCGCCTGGGTGGCTCAGTCGTTAAGCGTCTGCCTTTGGCTCAGGTCATGATCTCAGGGTCCTGGGATCCAGTCCCACATCAGGCTCCCTCCTTGGCGGGAAGCCTGCTTCTCCCTCTCCCACTCCCGCTGCTTGTGTTCCTGCTCTTGCTATCTCTGTCTCTGTCAAATAAATAAATAAAATCTTTTAAAAATAAATAAATAAGTTAGGGCGCCTGGGTGGCTCAGTCGTTAAGCGTCTGCCTTTGGCTCAGGTCATGATCTCAGGGTCCTGGGATCCAGTCCCGCATCGGGCTCCCTCCTTGGCGGGAAGCCTGCTCTCCCTCTCCCACTCCCGCTGCTTGTGTTCCTGCTCTTGCTATCTCTGTCTCTGTCAAATAAATAAATAAAATCTTAAAAAAATAAAAATAAAAACGCCTTTTAAATAAATAAATAAATAAATAAAAGCAGCCAAGTAGAGTTATCTTGAGATTTCTAATGACAGCTCCCCTCGGGGTCAGATCATTTTAAGGAAGATTCAGCCCCAAAATTTTGGGGAGAAAACTCAGTACTCTTAAAGATCATACTATGATTTCTCCGTAGATTTCTCTGGATGATAAAAATCAACTGTGATCTCTAACTAAAGAATTCCTAGAGAACAGTTAGTGTGTGTGTGTGTGTGTGTGTGTGTGTGTGCGCACGCGCCCTGAGGGCAGGCAAGATCTATACCAGACCTGTTTGCTGCTGGATCCCTGTTGCTCAGCACAGTACCTAGATGCATGCTACACACTCTGTGTCTCCCGATTGAATGAACATATGAATGATATCCCTTGTCAGATATTTTACATGCTTCTAATAGTCCATGGTTCTAAGTAACTCTAAGAACAAAAATCAACTGTATCCTATATTCATTTGTTCATTCACTTATATATTCATCACAAATTTTTCACAGCTTTTTGGGGATACAACTCACATACCATGTCATTCACCCATTTAGAGTATAAAATTCAATGGCTTTTGGTATATTCACAGAGGATATTCATATCCATCACCACGGTTAATTTTGGAACATTTTAATTACCCCCAGAAGAGATCCTGCACTCCTTAGCCATTACTCCCCAATTCCTCCCTCATCCCCAGCCCTGGGCAACCACTAATCTGCTTTCCGTCTCTATAAATTTGCCTGTTCTCGATCTTTCAAATAAATCCAGTCATGTAAGATGTGGTCCTCTGTGACCAGTTTCTTTCACTCAGTGTCGTGTTTTCAGGGTTCATCCCTGTCATAGCAGGTGTCCGTAGTTGATTTCATCAGATGTTTCTTGAGTGCTGATTTTGTGCCAGGAGCTCTTATGCACACTGGGGGTACAGTGATGAGCAGATATAGTTCGGGCCCCTCGAGGAGCTTAACATTGGGCTTAGAAGAGGATCACTTGGGCTCCGTTGCCGTCTGCCAGCACTCTGTGACATCTCCCCTTGGTTTCTGACCTCCTTTTCTGAAAGGTGGATGGCAAGTTAATGAGGGTGACCTTCTGGACGATTTTCAACCCCCAGCAGCCACAGCTTTGCACTTGTCCCGCCCGTCTCCCATACCCTCCCCAACAATCTGATACGTGTAAATACTCAAAATTAGAACAGAAGTTGCACAGTCATCTCCAATTCATGGATTCCTTTTTTGTTAAAATAATTAAGATTTTATTTATTTATTTGGCAGAGAGAGACACAGCAAGAGAGGGAACACAAGCAGGGGGAGTGGGAGAGGGAGAAGCAGGCTTCCCGCCGAGCAGGGAGCCGGACGTGGGGCTCGATCCCAGGACCCTGGGATCATGACCTGAGCCGAAGGCAGACACTTAATGACTGAGCCACCCAGGAGCCCCTCCAATTCATGGATTCTTACAATTATTGATACCAGCTGACTTCTGGAGTGGTGTTCCCCTAGCTGTGGCCAGAAGTGAAGCTTATCCCCTCCTCACCAAGACGCCTACTGTGTGACAGAAAATTTAGACCTTTCCAGGAGGAGGAGAAAGCACTGTAACCAGTCCTCGTCAGTAGCAGTGCGAGGGGACTGATGCAAGGATAAACAACAGAAGGGCCCAGCGCTCTGGGCGCCCGGGTGGCCCAGGTGGTTGGGCGTCTGCCTTCGGGTCGGGTCATGATCCTAGGGTCCTGGGATCGAGCCCAACGTCGGGCTCTCAGCTCGACGGGGAGCCTGCTTCTCCCCCTCCCTCTGCCTCTCACCCTCCTTGTGCTCTCTTTCTCTCTCTCAAATGAGTAAATAAGAAATCCTTAAAAAAAAAAGAAGGGCCCAGCACAATCCTCAGGGTACTGGCTATGAAATTAAAGGTGAATTCAGAACTGGGGGAGGTTTGTTGGCTCCCTGTGTATCAGGCTTCTGTGTCAACCCCGCCTCCCCAGTGCCATTCTTTCCCCACTCTGCTCCAGCTGGTGTGTGTATAGAAAAAAAATTGTGTATATCCCAGAAAGTGCTCTCTAATTGTTTAAGCTATTTGTATTTTGTCCTGAAGGTCAAGATCCCAACTTGCTCACACACAAGACCAGGCTTCTGATCAAAATCACAGTGGGGGGTGGTCAGGCCTCCAAGGCAATTACTATTGCTGGAAGAGGCCTTGCACTCTCCTGTCTCATGGCTGGGCTGACTTTATTTGGGGCCCCGAGGTCTGGGGACAGGCCACAGAAGGAGGCTCCAGTCTGTGATGATGTGTGCAGAGAAGAATGTCATCCACAGGCAGCTGTGCACCAGAGCCTGTTCGGGGGCACAGCGTCTCACATTTGCCTGACTTAGGGGCCACAAGCCCTGTGCTCGGGCCCTGGGGCAGCAGGTGTGAGCGGGAAGCACAGGAAAGGAAAGACAGCAAATGGGCTGCAGGACAGGCCTAACCACAGATGCCCCCCAGATCATGCATTCCTGCAGCGGTGGGGGGCATTAAGTAGGTGTGGGTTTTTTAAGATTTTTTTTTTTTAATTTGACAGAGAGAGAGACAGCAAGAGCAGGAACACAAGCAGGGGGAGTGGGAGAGGGAGAAGCAGGCACCCACTGAGCAGGGTGCCTGGTGCAGGGCTCGATCCCAGGACTCTG